AAAATTTTCCTCCAATAATGTTTCAGAAGTCAGTAATTAATGTGGAAAATGCTAAGCACTAGGAACATGAAGATGTATTTCTGTTTATACACATACATAGACAAGTATGCATGCATAAATGTATATATGAAAACACATGGCTTGCAGTACTGTTGGTCAAAGAGGGTACGATTCTATGGTTCTCATCAATAAGCCCACATTAAGTGCAAGAAAAAATGGCTGTATTAGTTTCCTGAAAAAATTACTATAAATTTAACGACTTCAAACAATAAATACTGGTTATCTTACAGTTGTCGAGGCCAGTTGTCTCAAATCATTCTCAGTGGTCTAAATTCAGTGTGTCAGCAGGGCTTTAATTTTCTGGTGCCTTCAATCTATTTGCTTGCCATTTAGCTTCTGGAAGTATGTACATTTTTTCTCATGACGTCAATCTTCCATCTTCAATTCCAGCATAGAAGCCCTTTCCAGGGACAATGTGTCTGTGTTTATATCTCTCTATGCATATCTCTCTGTGTTTGTGTCTCTGTCTCTCATTCTCTACCTCATTCCCCCTCCCTTCTTGTTCTTCCTCTTAATTTAATAAAGAACATATTAATTACTTTATGCCTAGCCAGATGAATTGAGAATAATCTCTATTTCCCTAACTTTTTGACCTACCTCTGCAAAGTCTTTTTATCATATTAGGTAACATGTATAAATTATAGTGCCTAGGTTGGTAATATCTTTATGAAGGCAGAGTTAGTATTCAGCCTAGTACAATACGTAATCTAAACATTATTGTGAACCTATTAACAGTATGCAGGAAAGAAAATCCAACATCAACATGAAAAAAGGGGTTATGGAATGTAATTAGAACATAGAACATCTCAGCTGTATTTACAACAGGTAGAATTTAGATTGTGAATAAATGCTAAAAACAGAGTATGTTTAATTAACTGCAAAAAAAATTCAAGCACCTGTAAGCAGGCGCAGGGGCCAGGGGTTTGATCCCTGGGTCTCCCTTGCCAGCCCCACCCCTGGGGTGTGCTGAGATGTCCATTGAGACTGAGCGTGGTGGCGCATGCCTGTAATCCCAGCACTTGGGAGGCTGTAAACAGGAGAATCAGTATGAGTCCGATGTAGTAGTGAGCCCATGAACACCCTGTAGACCCTTCTGTAAAAAATACAAAAAGGAAAAAAAGAGAAAAGAAAAAAAAAAGAAATTCAGAATTGTGGAGATAATACATATTAGTAAAGCTTAATTCAATATATGGTTAGAGAAATGGTCTTGGAGTAGATTATGAGTAGTCTTGGATATCACACTTTGGATTATATATTTTAACCTAGTGATAACGTGATTAATAGCATGAACAAAACCAATAATAATTATGAAGGACTGTAACCAATATTTTAAAGATAGATGTAATTTTAGTTGCATTTTCAAAATATCATCATTGAATTGGAAAGATGTCTTGTGAAAGATTATTGGCATTGATATAAAAGAATGATTCACATACAGGAAGACTGGGGAGAAGACCAAAGGAAGATTATTAGCATTGGTGTAAACAAAAGATTCCCATAGAGTAGGCCTGAAGCATGTACCAAAAAGATATAATATATTAAAGAAAGAGTCCATAAGAATGGTATGAGATCAACTGGGTTATGGAAGAAAAGTTAACTTAACCTTTTACAATATCAGCAATGTGGCACTGTAGAAGTACTTGGTTCACTTAAATGCTTACAAAATTATTATTATTAATTGTATTAAAAAGGAAACTTTGTATGAAGCACAATCTCACAGAATTTAATGAGGAAAAGGAAAAATAATGCACCCATGTAGCATAGTTGAATTGCACAAAAGAAAGAAGTAAAAATCAAATGTCTGAAAAATATCCCCAAAATGAAAATATCAGAAAAAATGATAAAATTAAAAAGAAAAATGTAGCCCGGTGTGATGGCACCTGCCTGTAATTCCAACACTCAAGAGGCTGAGGCACAAGGATTGGTATGAATTCCAGACCGGCCTAGTCTACAAAGTGAGCTCAAGTGCAGTCTGAACTTCATAGGGAGCCCTGTCTCAAAAGACAAAAGAAAATAAGTGGCAAGTACTTGGTTATTTATAAATGATGGCAGTTTACATACATTTCCACTTGATCTTACTTCCAAGTGGAAAAACAAATAAAAAATTAAAACCATAATCTTTCTCTTTAAAGATGAAAAATCTTGGTCTGAATGCTCCCAGCTGAAGGGACTGTCAGCTGTGCAAAACAATTCGTGGATGTTTGGGTTTAGGGAGCTTATAAAGACACCATTATGTTGAGTTTATTGTTCATAGTTTGTTTTATGGACTGTGAGGGCACATTGTTAGTATTATCATGAGTTGTTTTGTAACTTAAAATTTCTCTAGAGGGGTATATGATTTAATGTTCTCAAGAGGAACATCATAAAACTACATTTGGTAGTAATTTTTTATTTTTAACACTAGCAGACTCCATATACCAATACTCATATAGTAGACTATAAAAATGCAGTCGTAGTAAAAATATCCTTTTTCCGAAAAGCTACTTAGAGACATTGTTCAAACATGGGAGTTATTTCTGGGCTTTTGTTTAGACATAGCCTCGTGATGAACTGTGTTAAGAGCAATCAGTACTCCAGTAATGCTTTGAAACGGGTCTCTTATTCCAGAATCACATAAAAACGCTGAAGAAATGGATGGCTGAAGTTGATGTTTTCCTGAAGGAGGAGTGGCCTGCCCTTGGGGACTCAGAAATTCTTAAAAAACAGCTGAAACAGTGCCGAGTAAGATTTGTATATGCCTTTCACGTGAAGTCTTTCATATCAGAGTATTATTTGCTTAGGTCAGTGGTGTACAAGTAGGGAAAATTTCTCTGCTGCTGTTATGGGACATTTCCCAACATCTGGAGACAGTGTATGTTGTCACATCTTTTTGGGGGAGATAGGGATAGATGCCAGTGGCTTCCAGTGGGTAGTGCTGGGAAGCTCAGTAAACATTCTACATGACTCTCCACAAGAAATAATTATACAGTTGAAAATGTCAGTAGTGCAACTGAGGAATCTTTGGTGAAATAAATTAGAAATAAATAAAACATTGCCTTGTACTCAGATATCATTTTGTAAGGTTATTTTAATATAAAATCTAATATTACTTAAAGGAATATAGGAGTTATCATATCTTATTATAGATAATTACTCATACTGTGTCACTGCTTCCACATGTAATTCATTGTACTATAATATAACACAATGTGGATTTTTCAAATGATATTCATTATGTTATTGGCATGCTGTGAGAAGAAAATTGTCTAGGTTTCTAAAAAACATTTTTTTCAAAATAAAGCGAAACAGCAAATCTCTATTTCAAATAGCCTTCACACTCATGAAAATCCTTTCAAAAAGAGTAATGTTATGGAAACCCATCATTTTCACACTTTTATTTTTTCCTAACAAGAAACATTAACTTTGTTTTCCTTTGGTTTTGAGATAATATCATACAAATAATTCTCTACTTCACTCATGCCATAATAACTACTGAACATTCTTAAGACTGTTATATGCCCATCTACAGCTTTAGCTATATCTGTTATATTTTCAACACAAAAATTCATATGAAATATTGTGATTCCTAATTATACATTTCCTATTTATGTTGTATTTATAATATGTAGTAAATTCTCATCCTGATTAAATTGAATTGTTTCTTTAGCTTTTAGTCAATGATATTCAGACAATCCAGCCAAGCTTAAACAGTGTCAATGAAGGTGGCCAGAAGATCAAAACTGAAGCCGAGCCTGAGTTTGCATCTAGACTTGAGGCAGAACTCAAAGAACTCAACACCCAATGGGATCACATGTGCCGACAGGTATGGACCATCTCCTGCACATTGGGGGGCCTCAGTTCATTAAAATTTCAGAATACCTTCCTTTACAGTTATCTTTATTTAAAGCTTTGCTACTATGCTAATGCTTAAAAAGCCAATTTATGCAAACAAATTCATCTTTTTTCTCTGTCATGTAGAAATATCTTATATAAATAATACATATTTTTTTCATATTGGGGTCTTAAGCTTACCTTGCATACAAGTGTCATCTGGCAAAATCAAATCTAATGCATAGGCATCATTTTTACTGAATGTTTTCTTTCGTGCCTGAATTTATAGTTATGGGCCCGGGGAGATAGCTCAGTAGAATAAGCGCTTGCCTGGCAAGCGCAGTCCTGAGTTCAATCCCCAGTACCACAAAAAGTTAAAGTTATTGGCTTAACAAACATATTACACATGTCTATTTAGTATAGAAATAAAATGAATGAGGGAGACCAACCTCTTGGGTCCCTCTCCTGCTCCTCTCAGACAGGAACTTTCTTTCCCTCAATAAATATTGTCTGCTCATAAAAAAGAAATAAAATGAATGAATAATATATATGTGTACACAAATATGGTACATAATTTTTTCTTGTCACGATTAAGATGTCTAAGCTTGCCTTCTTTAATACATTTATTTTAACCAGTGATGTTGAATAACTTAAGACTACCTAAGTGAAAGTATGAGTTTCTCATTCTTATATAGTACAGTATTTTATAGACATTTAAGGAAGACATTGAGGAAAGTAAAACACTGTATTCATAAGCAGTACATATCAAATCACTTTTGTTCAAAAGGTAAAATCGTGACCTACAGCAGTGATCACTTTTAAATTCTTTAATACTCTTTTAAATTAAAGGGAGGTCTTATTTGTATGGTTAGAGGTCATCAAGTTTGGGTTATTTCCAAGTAACCTTTCAAACCTGAAGAGAAATAATGTCAAAAGGCAACATCTGAATATAAGAAAGAAAAGATTTTAGAAAAGTAAAATCCAAGGCAAGTTGCTCAGGTAATGCAATCACTGCCAAATGTTTAGCAGTTTCATTAACTTGCATATGAGTGGGCCCTGGGTCAGCTATCTTGTGTTCTTCTAGTTAGGTCAGTGCTAGAAGAGTTGGTCAGGAAAAAAAATCACTTAAATAATGGATAGTGTGGGCTGGGGAGATAGCTCAGCGGTAGAAGCACCTGTGTGGCAAGAGCAAGGTCACGAGTTTGATCCTCGATACTGAAATAAATAAATAAATAGATAAATAATAATATAATAATAATGGCTTGTGCCATTGATATTTTCCTGGAAGGTCTACATGTACAACATTTGATTTTACAATGTTCTCAATGGATAACTAGAAAGAATAACACCAATTTGTTTAGAGCCACAAGAAAAACAACAGCCAAATACATGATAAAAAATGACATGAAAAGTCAACAATGGTACCAATACCTCAAGATTTTTGCAATTCACAGAAGTATAATTTTTAAAATATCTTAATTCTTAAAATGACCTTGCCTAAAACTGTCCATCTGCCATAATATATGCTAAGATTGTTGATGAAGAGAAGTATTTGAACTCATAGGCATCATGCATATAGTGATTTTGTTAGCCCAATTGTCTTTAGATCCAATTGTGCACTATCCTGGAATTTTTTACATCTCTCTGCTTCTCCATGCATATCACACTGTCCAGACTCCAACTGTGTCACCAAAAGATGTAGAATTTTTTATTTGCTTGTTTTTGTTTTTGGCGGAACTGGGAAGTGAACTCAGGCTCTTGCGCTTCCCAGGCAATCACTTATTCTACTGAGCCATCTCCCCAGCCCTAAGATGTAGGTTTTGAAAGGAAGAAATTATGGTACTGCAGAAGAGGGACACAGTGCAGTAAAAGGAGGGAAGCAAGGCTCAAGTGTTGATACTAATGCAGGATTCAAGAAAAAATAATGGGTGTGCAATATAAGGCTGTAGAAATACAAATATCTACACACAAAGTAAGTGTGTGATGCTCTCTTCTGGGTTAAATATAGCATGTTATCTTTCACTAGATGCCAAGGCCTGGACAAACACAATGTATCCAAGTGTCTGAAGTGTTTGAACATACTTTATGATCCCATAATTTTTTGTAGTTCAGGCAGGCCTTGAATGCAGGCTGGTCTCAAACTACTGGTGATCTTTCTGACTCTGCTTCCTAGTGCTTCCATTACAACCATGCTCAACCATACCCACTATTTCTCAAGAAGAAAATTAAATTAAATTAAATTTCACCAGACACCTCAGTCCCAAGATACTTGGCCAATTTGTGTAATATATATGAATATTCTCTTAGGGAGTTGAAACATTTTTCTTTGATTACTTTGTTGGTATATAACTGACATACAAAAAGCTGTATATATTAAATATACAATTTAATGCATAGGGCATTTGTACACCCATGAGACCAAAACTACTCATTGTTTTCAAAATGCTTTCTGCTCACTTTATTTTAAATTATATCCTTTTGTGATAGCACTCAGCATAGTCTCTGCTCTTACTAAATTTTAAAATATTTATTGCAGTATGGCTAAGCGTGAGTCCTGTGTTGTACAGGAGATCTCTAGAATTTATGTATCTTTCCTAAAGAAAACTGTGCTTGCTTTAAATGTCACTTCTGCATGTGCCTCTGTTCCCACATTCCAGGTCCTGGAAAATACTAGTCTATTCAGATTCTGTGTGTTGGAGTGTGGTAGATTATAGGAATGTGAGAAAAAAATTGTAAACCATGTATGTGATAAAGAGTTCATACTGAATCTAGAAAGAGAATTGCTACAATTGCAAAAATTAAAAAAACAATTAAAAATGGGCAAAGGACTTGAATAAACATTCTTTTGGAAGAAACATATACATGGCAAGCATGCATATAGAAAGGTTCTCAGCATCAATTGTTATCAGGTAAATGGAAATGAAACAATACAGAGATAATACCCAACCCTTGTTATCAAAACAAAACAAATTTCTATGTGTTGGGGAGGATGTGATGAAAACAGAACACTTTTATGCGATTGGTAGGACAGCAAGTCAGTGTTGCCATTGTGGAAAATAATATATAGAGGTTATTCAAAATTGTAAAGTAGGATGGACATTTGATTTAGCAATCCTATTTCTGGGTATACGTTAAAGTATGTTGAAACCAGGATTTCAAAGAGATATCTGTGCTCCCATCTTCACTGCCACATCAAGCCCAACAGAAGAGATGTGGAGACATTCTCACATTGGTTGAACTACATATAAATAAAGAAAATGTCGAAAGCATACATAATGAAATAAAGTACAAGACAAGGATGTACTCTATCAACACTCCTATTCAATATCTGGAATCATTAATATGCAGCCTTATAAAAGGAAGTTCTGTCAACATGAGTCAACCAGAATGGTGTTAAAACACAACATAGCACATTATGCTATAGAAGGAAGCCAGATATAAAAGGACAAGTACTAGAGCAGGATTCTTTGCAAATACAACACTGAACATGAAGTATAAGACCATGAGCTCTAGAAACATTTGGCCTAAGCTTAAATCTTACCTCTAATATAACCTATAATATTGCTTAAAATTTTTATGGTTTGGTTTCTCAATCATTCAAATATAATGAATGTTAATGCCTGACTGATAATTTAATATTTAAAGTTTTTAATCTTTGTAAGGTATATAAAATAGTATCTATTGCGGTACATTCACTATCCATGTGTTGATTAAATATACAAAATCAATGATATATATATATATATAATTTCAAGTAAATAATGTATGATTATGTGTGTTAATTATTACTAGATGTTAATGATTAATGCAATTAAACATTGTGCTTTAATCGGGAGGATGTCATTTTGGCAACTCGAAAATCACTGTCTTCCTCTCCTCTGGTGTCCCTTTTGGGTGCAGCCAACCACATTCCTTTGCTTAGATCTCTAACAATAATGTCCTCATTATCCCAAATGGCCAGTATCCTGTTTCATTGACAGCACTGAAATAACATGAGGAAAGCTGTGCACACTGTCCCCTCACTTGCATCTATATCATAAATTTTGCTAACTTGCTATTAACTTTGATGGACTTTCTGTCCTAAGGCAGGGTGCTGCGCTTGCGCACTGCCTCCTTTCCATCTTTTCTGCACAAGAACATTGTACCAGTTACTGAGCAGCCCTCTTACTCTTGCATCTTCCTCCTACAAAATTATTTCCATTAACAGAAAACTATGCTGGCACATCTCCTATGACTTAAAAAGTCATCCGTTGGTCCCAGAGTTCCTCCTGCTATCTCTCCAATTTCTTTATCACTTTGCAGAAATTCTTTTTTCTACAACATACTCTTTCCATTTGCTCTTGGATCATACTTTATGAAAATTTTATCCTCACTAAATTGAAGAAAATTTTGTCAAGGTCACCAGTGAATTCACATGACTAAATCAGTATTTTATTCACTGGCTTTTGTACCATCATTCTTTCTTAGTTTTGAAGTAGCCTTCAATTTGCTGCACTACATCCAATATCCTTAGTGATGGTTTCACCACAACTACTACACCCTGAGGTATCACAGGGTTCAGCCTTTGTATTGCTTTTTATTTGCTTTATACTCAGCCCCTAGGTCAGTTCATTTAGCAGCATGGTGTCAAATATAACTTGTGAATCGTTTCTTCCTCAGTTTTTCTTGTAAGCTGGACCTGAATCTCATGTCTGAATCCTCAGCTTCCCATTTAACATCCCCCATGGATAAATAATATTTAATAAAAGTTACATGACCACACATAATTCTCGATACAAACCCAATCTACTACCCTAGTAGTCTCCCTTGTAAAACGAACGATATCTATATATTGCCAATTATTCAAGCCAATGCTCTGGACATGTACTTGCCTCCTATATTTTTTCTTAAAAATAAACCTGTAATAAATCAATAAATGACATTGGTCCTACCTTCAAAGTTGGTGAGATTCAACAATTTCTCTGCATCTTTGGGCAATTACCACAAATTTCCTTTCTATGTCACTACAGTAGATTCCTGTATAGTATTCCTGTTCCCACTTTTGTCCCTTTCCAGAGAGCTTGTTTTCAATACAATAGGAAGAATGATCTTTTCAAAACATGTGGCATTATACCATAACCTTAATCAATAACTTGCAAAATATTATTTGTAAAATCTAAGACTGGGTAGGGGGCTAAGTAAAATTATTAATAAAGTAGTTAAACTAAGCCTGTTATCAGCAGTGTGCCATATGTGTTTAACAATTAGTATTATTAATGTAGATCATAATTATGTGAATATTTTTGGAGAAAAGATAGGCATACTGAACTCTACTGTGTATTGGCCAGATAGATATAAATATATGCTTAACATTAGGGAAAGATCAGAAATACTAAATTATATGTAAGAAAAAAATGCAGTAGGAAATACTTTTCAAAACAGATTAGAATGATAGATAACAATTAATGATGGAACTCAGGGAAACATTAATTTTAAGTGGATGAAAGTGAAAGGAGACCAAAAAAACAACTGGGAAGGGAGGAAAGAAACCCAGAAAATAACAACTGAAAAGTGTCCTAGGAAACTTTAATATTAAGAAAATAGGAGGTTCAAGAATCTAAGTATAATTATGAGACTCACATTCTACAAGACACATTAATTCTAAAATAGAGACAGAAATAAATAGTGGCTGAGGCAAGAGGAATGTTGCTAGTTCCAGACCAGCGTGGGCTACAAAGTGAGCTCTAGGCCACCCTGAAATGCATAGTGAGACCCTGTATCAAAAAAATAAAAATTAAAATTAGAATAAACTTAAACATTACTGTTTCTTAATGTTTTTTAGGATTAATGATAAATGATGAGGTAGAATAGACCAGCATATTTCCTAGCCCTAGACCCCTAAATTAAGTTTGCACTGCCTTTAAATACATTAAGAATGGCATTAGATTCTTATTTAGATAATTCCAACTTGGTTGCACTGATTCCCTGAAAAGAAACTTTGTTTGCAGTTAAGTAATATAATAAGGCTGTATGTTAGGTGTGCATCTCAAGTTTTGTGATTTGAATTAAATGGTCATGACTTGAAAAAACTTAGCATTAGAAAATCCCCGATAATCTTACTGAAGAGTTTCAATGGTCTGATAAGGAGAAAAGACAGACTGTAGCTAGAAAATTATTGAGAAATCAAGAAAAACAGAAAGTACTAGAATGCTGTTTAAATCTGTTAACTGTGTAGAGTTGTGTCCAGGTAATTTTGGATTAATTTATCTTTTTAAATGATTTGGCAGTCCATGAACATAATTATAATATGACCACAAAGGAGAAAAGAGTTGAAGAAAGAATAAATCCAGGGCCTGGATGAGTGTATAATAAACCTAAGTAAACATAATATGAAATGTATACAAACACAAATTTGCTATTTGAGGATACCTGACTTCAGAGTACCAGCTCTATATGGGAGCCATCAAGTCTGGACAGGACCAAATTCATCTTTTGCTGAGATCAGAGATTAAAGAAACTTGGGTGGGGTCAAAGATACAGAATGTATGTAATCAGATCACGTTGCAGGATATTTTGGGCAGATTCCGGAACACATTTTAGGGTCACTAATGTCATAAAAGCAAGTTGAAATTAGCGTTTTAAGCCAAAACCTTTTCATAGAAATTCTTTTAACTCATGAAGATGTAAGCATTTCATATATCACTTTCTCTGACCAGTCATAAAGTTGTGGAACATTAAATTTGAAAAAGTAATACCCTAAGATTAATATAATTTTTATGTGCTATAAACATATACCAATAATAAGATCTTTTAGGTTACTTATAAAGCTGAGATAAAGACAAGTGGATAAATGGTAGATTGCTAGGGATTGTGTCCAACGATCCAATCCAAAACCAATGTTCATTCTAATACACTTGTGGTGTCATCTCAGAAAGACCCAATACCTCTCCTTCCTTAAAAAATTATTTTTGATATATTTCCTCTAGTTTTATAATATGCCATATATTTTGGCAGTCCATGAACATAATTATAATATGACCACAAAGAAGAAAGGAGTTGAAGAAAGTATAAATCCAGGGCCTGAATTAGTGTATAATAAACCTAAGTAAGCATAATATGTGACTGGGCTAAATTCCATTAGTCTCTAGGGTTTTTGTAGCTTCCCCAACTGCTTCAGAAGATTATAGCAAATCTGTGTTTGTAAAAATTTAATATTATGTTTACTTAGATTTATTATACACTCACTAACTATGCATATAATACTTATGCCTTTGCTAATATTATTGTCAACCCTATTGATTTTCTTGTGTCAGAGCGAAACATTTATTTTCATTTGAATAGATCAGTTATTACATTCAACCTTAAAGAAAAAAATACAATATTATCTACATTAGCTGCAATGTAGTTGAGCTGTAAATTATATCAGTCAAACTTAATGTTATGCTGGTCCTACATAGTTTTAATATTTGGTAAAGTCCCATCAAAACTGCATTTTAAGCAAGCTATACAGTGTATATTAAAACTTTGCTATTACAACTTTGTCAGTTAATCTATAGGCCCCCATTTAACTCCACAGAGAAATGTTGTTGATATAGAGTGATTTTTTTGAAAGAAGAGTGAAACATTATATATAAACACTGTAATACTACAGGGTACTATGTACGAAACCATTATCATGTACAATTTTGTTTTAGATATTTTATGATTTGCTACTTTTCTGCTTTGTGTATAGTAAATTCCATTGTACGAAATATCTTACTATTGAAAATATGTGTGGTTTTAAAAGTGCAGACATTCTGTATGACCACACACATTGTTGAGCAGCTTACTTTTTAAACAGAAAATTATGTTTTGATCAACTTTTCATTTTACAAGTGTCACGATATCCCATGCTATGTATGTATCATAATTTATTTAAGGCCTCATGAAAGCACACTTGAATATGTTCCCAACATTTAATTACCTTCAAAATTGAATTGAATAATGCCTCTGAAAGTTTGCAGGTTTTGGTCAGTATGATTCCTTCTTTTTTTCATAACTTTATTGAGAAACAAATTAGCAATGAAAGAGTTTCAAACCAAATTGGTAGGACAGTTTCAATAATTAACACATTGCATACATTCTTCCTAGTGGTTAATTGCTGTACAAGAT